TGTCTCCTCTCTCTCCCCCCTCTTTCTCCCTCTCCCTCCCTCCCTCTCTCTCTCTCTTCCTCTCTCTCCCTCTCTCCCTCTCTCTCTCCCCCCTCCCTCTCTTCCTCTCTCCTTTTCTCCCACTCTCTCCCTCTCCTTCTCTCTCTCTCCCACTTTCCCTCTCTCTCCCCCCCCCCTTTCTCTCTCTCTCCCTCTCTCCCACTCTCTTCCTCTCTCCTTCTCTCTGATAAGAGAGAACTTCTTCCTTTCCCAGGACCCTGTTGTGTGATGTCTGGAGCTGCCGCCGCCCCTCTGTGCCACTGGAGAACATCATGGTACACACACAGGGGCTGGTGGAGACTGAAGCCAAGGAGAGACCAGAGGGGGGTGCTGTGAGTGACATGCCTTGTATAGGAGAAGCCTGCAGAACAGGGACCGGAGACAAGAAAAGCACACGGAACTGCAGGCCACCTAGGGACGCAGGTGCCAGCTGTGCAACCTGCCCAGCCAGCAGCCAGAGTGGCTGCTCCCCCACCCCAACTCATTTATGAGTGACTGATAAGAAAAAGCGCACAGTGGGTTGCACATCCGCCTGCAGTGCCTGCATCCCACGTGGGCGCCGGTTCAAGTCCCGGCTGCTCCACTTACAGTCCAGCTCCCTGTTGAAGGCCTGGGAAAGCAATGGAAGATGGCCTAACTTGAGCCCCTGCACCTGCATGGGAGACCTGGAAGAAGCTCCTGGCTCTTGGTTTCGGATCAGCCCAGCTCTGGCTGTCGCAGCCATTACTCTCTCTCTCACTATCTGTAACTCTGCCTCTCAAATAAATAAATAAATCTTTTAAAATAAATAAACAATTAAGCTTTCCCTCAAAGACTCTTTTAAAAAGGAAAAGTAAAAGAATGTCAGGGCCAGTGCGGTGGCGTAGTGGGTAAAGTCACCGCCTGCAGCGCCGGCATCCCATTGGGCGCCGGATCGAGTCCCAGCTGCTCCACGTCCCATCCAGCTCTCTGCTGTGGCCTGGGAAAGCAGTAGAAGATGGCCCAAGTGCCTGGGCCCCTGCACCCACGTGGGAGACCCTGAAGAAGCTTGTGGCCCCTGGCTTCAGATCCACCCACCTCTGGCCATTGCAGCCATCTGGGGAGTGAACCAGTGGATGAAAGACCTCTCTCTGTGTCTCTCCTTCTCTGTCTGTAATGCTGCCTTTCAAATAAACAAATAAAATATTTTTTTAAAAATGCCTGCATTCCCACACTGAAGCCTGGGTTCAAGTCCCTATTCCAGCTCCTGACTCCAGTCCCTGTTAACGTGCACCCTGCAAGGCAGCAGTGAGGGTTCAAGGGATTGGGCTCATGCCACCCCCATGGGATACCGGCTCCCGGCCCAGCCTCAGCCTTGGGGACATTTGACCTAGCAGCTGGGATACTGCTTGGGGCAGCAGCATCCTATATCCGAGTGCCCGGGTTCCAGTCCCGCCTCCCGCCCTGATTCCAGCTTCCTGGAGGCAGCGGATCCCCACCACCCACAGGAGAGACCCACACTGCATTCGGCCTGGCCCAGCCCTGGCTACTGTGAATTTGCAGACGAGAGCTCTTCTACTTAGCTGTCCACCTTTCTGCCTCTCACTCTGCAAAGAAATTATTCTTTAACTATGAAGTTATTTGGGTGCAAAAAAAAAAAAAATCTCGTTGGCAAATTTTTTTTCCAGGGTACATGGAATATGTGTATCACTTAAAAAATATGGACAGGTCAGCTGGTGCCGCTGTTCACTAGGCTAATCCTCCGCCTGCAGCGCCAGCACACCGGGTTCTAGTCCCGGTCGGGGCGCCGGATTCTGTCCCGGTTGCCCCTCTTCCAGGCCAGCTCTCTGCTGTGGCCTGGGAGTGCAGTGGAGGATGGCCCAAGTGCTTGGGCCCTGCACCCCATGGGAGACCAGGAGGAAGCGCCTGGCTCTTGGCTTCAGATTGGCACAGCGCACCAGCTGTAGCGGCCATTTGGAGGGTGAACCAATGGAAGGAAGACCTTTCTCTTTGTCTCTCTCTGATTGTCTAACTCTGCCTGTCAAAAAAAAAAAAAAATATATGGACAGGTCGTTTAAAAATGCTTACAACCAAAATATATTCCTACTTCTAATTCCATTTCCCGTGAACATCTTGAATACCCTCGTGTGTGTATATATATGTGTGTACACACACACATGAGCACTTCCTGTGCATATACACACATAACATACATATACACAAATATGCATACGTGTGACACATGTAACGTTGTGCAGGCATGCCGCTCACTGAAGCATAATCTGTAATGGCAAAAACTAGGAAGCCACTTAAATACCCATTAGTCAGGATGTGGGAAACAGATAGTACCTTCTCACAATGGAGCACTACGCAGCTGTTAAAAGTACCCCATGGCGGCTTACTAGGCTAATCCTCCACCTTGTGGCACTGGCAGACCGGGTTCTAGTCCCGGTTGGGGCGTCGGATTCTGTCCCGGTTGCCCCTCTTCCAGGCCAGCTCTCTGCTGTGGCCAGGGAGTGCAGTGGAGGATGGCCCAAGTGCTTGGGCCCTGCACCCCATGGGAGACCAGGAGAAGCACCTGGCTCCTGCCATTGGATCAGCGCGGTGCGCCGGCCGCAGCCAGCCGGCCGCAGCGGCCATTGGAGGGTGAACCAACGGCAAAGGAAGACCTTTCTCTCTGTCTCTCTCTCTCACTGTCCACTCTGCCTGTCAAAAAAAAAAAAAAAAGTACCCCACACCTGTGGGCCCACTCATTTCTGCCTAGGACGGGCTGGCCCAGCCCTGCAGGGGACAGGAGCACGGGCCGGGGCTGCTGGGTGCACGCTGGTCTCTGGCAATGAAAGTGCAGCCAAGCCTGAGATGGCCCAGCCACGGTTGATGCTGTGTGTCAGTTTGGAGACACCAGCGCGCTCTTGGCATGTGGCGGGGTCCAGGACAGCGAGAGGGGCGGGGCCGGGGCAGGGTGGCAGACGTGGAGCTGATGACAGGGGTGGGGGCAGGGCGGGGCTAGCGAGAGTGAATCAGGACGGAGTTGCTAGGAAAGATGGGGAGGGGCTTGTGGGGGTGGGGCTAGCGATAGGATAGGGGCAGGGCTTGTGGCTCAGGACAGAGCTAGCGGTGGGGGGCGGCTGGTGAAAAGTCGGGATGGGGCTTGTGGCAGGTGGGGCTAACGAGAAGGGTGGGGCCGGTAGGAGGGTGGCTCGGTTTCCCAGAGCATCCCAGCCGCACATTTGGTTCTGCAGCCCCACAGGCTGCTGGTTCCCTCTTGAGCCCCACTGGGCCCTTCCGCACCCACCCGGTCCACTAGCCCACCTTGTCTGGGGTGGTCCAACCCCCGGCCCCAGCCTGTGGGGATCCCCCTCAGTGGGGGCAGGTCCCTCTCTTCCTTGGGCACACACATAGCCCCTACATCCTGTACACAGCAGGTGTGCCATAAGCCTGTACACAACCCTCATCTCCGGGCTCCAGCCCGGCCTCCCCCGGCGCTGTGCAGGGACACAGCGGGTGGGGCAGAGCAGGCAGCCCACGCGCGGCCGTTACCTCACGAGGCTGGCGCAGGGCCCCGGCCAGCGGCAGCCCTGGTACACGCGCTGCACCACCGTCTCCGAGCCATTCTGCACCTGGCAGGACACGGTCCGCGTCACCGTGTGATGGCACCAGTGCCTGTGGGGACAGCAACAGCCAGGTCAGCAGAGGCGCAGGGCTTCGGTCTGGCCCAGGCATGGCTCAGCCCAAGCTCACCTCCTCCCCCTGCCCTCTCCTGCTTCCACCCACTTCCAGCCACAGGCAGCGTCTTGAAAGCCGTCCCTGTCCCTGGCACCCCCGTGCTAGATTCCGTCTCAGGCTCTGCTTCCACGGGACTCGTCTGGCATCTGCCACCAGCCCCAGGAGGAAAAACGGCAAACCGACAGCCAGTGTCCTGGGGGAGAGAGCTGTGGCCCCCAGCAGGAGACGACCGAGCTGGGAGGGGACCGAGGCCAGCCTCAGAGCAGTGAACCTGACCATGGCGGGGGGCGGGGGGTGGGGGGTGCTGTGAGCGAGCCCGGCTCTGGTTTGAGCGTGAACTCCAAGTTTGTGTGTTAGAAACTTCATCCCCATTCTCGGTGGTGTCTCCAGGAGGGACCTTTGGATCAGGACGGCTCTGCTCTGGTGAGCGCATCCATCCACTTATAGATTATCCCGTTAACGAGCTATGGCTGCAGCCACTTTGGTCCTGTCACCTGTCAGCGGGTGACACCCGCTGACACCCTGCATCACCCCAGGCCCTGCAGAGTCCCGCCAGCAAGAAGCGCCCCCCATCACGCGGCCCCTCGGCCGTGAACCTCCCAGCCGCGAGGACCCTGAGCTGAATACCTCTTTATCCTTTAGGAAGCGGGCAGGCAGTTATAGCAACAGGAAACAAAGACCGCCCCTTGGGTCAGATCAGCCCTCCCCAGCAGGACATGGGTCTGCCAATCTATTGAGCAGAAGCGAATGAGGTCATGGATGGAGTCCCAGCTCCCTACCCTGGGGTCAGACCTCTCACGTGGCCCCCGTGTGAGCCAGCAGTGGGGTCAGCCCATAAGGCTGCCGGGAGGCAGACTGCTGCTCAGCCGAAGAGGCACCTGCTCCCAGGCAGAGCTGGCCGTGGGTGCACTGAGCTGCCCACGGCAGCTGTCATGGGTGTCCCGTCCTGGAAGGAGTGGGCAGGGGCAGGGTTCACACTGGGTAGGGGCAGAAGGTAAAGAGAGCCATTGAGCATTGTGGCTCAGCAGGTTAATTAAGCCACCGCTGGCAATGCTAGCAGCCTGTTAGACTGCCATTTGAGTCCTGGCTGCTCCACTTTCCAATCCAGCTTCCTGCTAATGCGCCTGGGAAAACAGCAGAAGTCGGCCCAAGTGCTTGGGCCCCTGCACCCACGTGGGAGATCTGGATGGAGTTCCAGGCTCCTGGCTTTGCCTGGCCCAGCCCTGGCTGATACAGCCATGTGAGGAGTGAACCAGCAGATGGAAACTCACTCGCTCTCTTTCTCTCTCTCTCCTCCTTCTCGTCATTGTTCTGTGTTTCGAAGAAATAACCATGAGTAAAGCAACTTTAATATAAAAAAGAGAGAGAGAGATGCAGGAGGATCTTGGGGACTCACCTTATTGGCAAAGAAGTGAAAGAAGTAAAAGTGTTTCAGTGAGAAGGGAACCTGGACAGAACGGGGTTCCCAGAGCACCTGCTGGTGCCAGGACAGGGGAGCAGGGCTGGAAGCTGAACCCCAGGCGCATCCAAGGACAGCTCAAGAGGACTTCTCCTCAGTCTATCTGCCATGCTGGAGCACTGGGTACAAACTGAGCCACTCCATGGACCAGCTCACCACCTCCCTGACAAAGTATCCCTATAGGGTCAGCGTCATGGCACAGCAGGCAAAGCCGCCGCCTGCAACACCCATGTGATCACCAGTTCAAGTCCCGGCTGCACCACTTCCAATCCCTCTCCCTGCTAATACGCCGGGGAAGGTAGAAGATGATGGCCCAAGTGCTTGGGTCCCTGCACCCATGGGGCTCCTGGCTTCAGTCTGGTCCAACCATGGCTCTTGTGGGCATCTGGAGAGTGAATCATCTGATGGACGATCTGCCCCCCCTAATAAATGAAAATATATAAATGTTTTCATAACAAATTGTTTAGAAAGAAGGAGCAGCCCTTCAAAGCTCCTGGGGCTGGAGCTGAGCCGAGAGCATCTCCCGTCCTGGGAGGCGGGGAGCTGCGCTGTGTTCAGGTTTCCTGTGGACTTGGAGGGAGAATTCCAAAGACTTTGTACCCCACAGGGTCCTGGGAATCTTGGTCCTGGGAATCATGCCCCAGCCCCGTGTCGCAGAGGAGAGCACCGAGGGCCAGAGAAGGGGAGGAAGGGCCCGAGGTGGCACAGCGAGCTGGTGACAGAGCCGGGAGCAAAGCCAGGGCTCCTGTTTCCAATTTCCTCTCTTCCTCCGGCAATCAACAGGGAGACTGGTTCCCAATGCTCAATCCAGAAAGGGGGTGGGGGGTTGGGGGGGCTGATAAGAATCTGTGGAATGCGGCTGCTCCAGGGCTGGCTGTGGACTTTGACATTGGATATCCAGCCGCTGCCACTGTGGGGATGGGGATGGCATGGACCCCAGCCCTGGGGCCTCCAGGCAGCACAGCCCCACTGGTCCATTGCTCCCCGGGTGTAAATGTGCGGTGGCCTGTGGCACACGGCCAGCAGCTGGCCCCGGAGTCTCAACCCCAGTACCTTGATTCCCCGGGCACCAGGGAATCCAGATGGGCGGACACAGCGCGTCCCCAAGGCCTGCTCTTCCTGCCTCCCAGAGGCAGTGAGGGTTGGCAGCTCATCAAAGCCCCAGCAGGTAGGGGCAGAAACAGGAAGTAATCACACTGCGTCCAGAGACAAAGAGTGGGCTTGGAGCCCGGGCATCACTGTGTGACCCCGCGCTGGACCCATCCCACTCTTGGGCTCCTCCTCCTCCTCTTCCTCTTCCCCCAGCCTCCTCTTCCTTTTGTTTTGCTTTTTTTTTCCTAGGATTTTTTATTTATTTATTTATTTGAAAGGCACAGTGACAAAGAGAGGGAGAAACAGAGAAAGAGAGAGAAATCCGCTGGTTCCCTGAATGGCCTCAATGGCCGGAGCTGGGCCAGGCCAAAGCCAGGAGCCAGGAACTCCATCCGGGTCTCCCATGTAGGCGGAAGGGCACCAAGCACTTCCGCCCGCCATCTTCCAGGTGCATCAGCAGGACCCGGATCAGAAGCAAAGCAACAAGTGCTCCAGTATGGGCTAAGCCCACTGCACCACAACGCTGCCTCCGCCTCCTCCCCTTCCTCCTCCTCACCCGCCCCCCCTCCCCGGCAGCAGACCTGGAGCTGGGGGAAACCATCACGTGCCGTCACACAGAGCAGACAGCCGAGCCCACGGCATGTTCGTCCCATCCATCCCTCCAGGGCCAGGCTTCCCTGCCCCCAGGTCTCCAGGAACCAGGGAAAGCCTTGCCCCTCCACCCTCGCTGGACAACAGGTGGCCTCCCAGGTCCGCAAAGTTGTCCCCAAGGCCGGGACTTGGGTGGGTACGGCGTCCAGCCAGAGGGACACAGATGGAACACACAAGCAGTGTCCTGGGGGGCGACACCCTGGCTTCCCGTCTCCCCTGCCCCCGGCCCAGGGCTAGCAAGGGGCACACGTAACTGACAGCACACATGAGCTGCTCAACTCAGTAGCTGAGATCTGGAACCAACCCGGATGTCCATCAACCAACGACTGGATAAAGAAAACGTGGTGTATGTGACCAGTGGAATACTACTCAGTCCTAAAAACAATGAGATCCTGTTTTTCACATCAAATGCCTGCAATCGGAGATCATCACGCTTGGCGAAATAAGCCACGTCACATGTTTTCCCTGGTCTGGGTAACTAATACACGGAGTACCAAAGAAACACAATTTGTAGGAGCAAAACGGACATTCTGAGATGTGACCATTTGTTTATAGCTCTGGTCTGTTCCCCTGAGCAACAGTGGCTTTTCCACTTACTACTTCTCAAATTCTGTATCTAGTGGACGGTTAAGCTTGTGCTTACAAAGTGAATTGAAAGCGTGTCATTGTCAAAATTAGAAGGAAAACAGGAAGGAGAAGAAAGGGTGGGAAGGATCTTTAAGCTCTTTATTTTTGGGTGGAATTTTTATTTATTTATTCATTTGAGAGGTAGAGCTACAGACAGTGAGAGGGAGAGACAGAGAGAAGGGTCTGGCTGCAATGGCCAGAGCTGCGCAGATCTGAAGCCACGTGCCAGGTGTTTCTTACTGGTCTCCCACACAGGTGCAGGGGCCCAAGGACTTGGGCCATCTTCTACTGCTTTCCCAGGCCACAGCAGAGAGCTGGACTGGAAAAGGAGCAGCCGGGACTAGAGCCGGCGCCCATATGGGATGCCAGCGCCACAGGCAGAGGATTAACCTACTGCGCCATGCCGCCAGCCCCATCTTAGCTCTTAAAACTGTATATGGAGGGGGTCTGCGCTGCAGCAGTCGAAGATGGCCCAGAGCTTGGGCCCCTGAACCCACACGGGGGACCTGGAAGAAGCTCCTGGCTTTTGGGAATGAACCAGAGATTTGGAGACCTCTCTCTCTGCATCTACCTCTCTGTAACTCTGCCCTTCAAATAAATAAATAAATCTTTTTTTTTTTTTTTTTTTGACAGGCAGAGTGGCCAGTGAGAGAGAGAGAGACAGAGAGAAAGGTCTCCCTTTGCCGTTGGTTCACCCTCCAATGGCAGCCACGGCCGGTGCACTGCGCTGATCCAAAGCCAGGAGCCAGGTGCTTCTCCTGGTCTCCCCTGCAGGTGCAGGGCCCAAGTACTTGGGCCATCCTCCACTGCACTCCTGGCCACAGCAGAGAGCTGGCCTGGAAGAGGAGCAACCAGGACAGAATCCAGCACCCCAACCGGGACTAGAACCCGGTGTGCCGGTGCTGCAGGCGGAGGATTAGCCTAGTGAGCCACGGCGCCAGCCATAAATAAATCTTTTTAAAAAAAACGGGAAACTGGACATGAGGTATATGCAACTCTTTGTACTGGTTCCCAACCTTTGTTTTGTAAATTTAAAACTATTCTGAAATAAATCGTTTAAGGAAACACTGCTAAAATAAATTAAAGCAAGGTTATTGAAAAAAAGAAT